TGTGTGCGGACAGCAGCTGTAACGACGATGAAACGTTGCAGAGCACGATGGAAGTGAATTTCTGAACATACCATCATCATCCATAGGCACGGTGTATGGAGTCTATGGACATTCAAAGACGATCTCTGGCTAGAAAATCCATTGGTCGTAGAGACAAATGCATGCAACTTTGCTAAATCTGTGTTTCAGCAATAACTCTACACACCCCGCTCCCCGTTTTTCATCCCTGCAAGCAGGGTTGCATACCCGCCGACCGCCTACTTCAACCGCCGACCGTATTGCAGCCGACAAGTAGGGCCGACCGGTCGGCGGTCTGCCGACCAGTCAGAAGTTTTTCTTTTTTCAAATCTGAGTTGGGGGCTGTACTGCACTTGCTGAGTACAGCCCAAATCCGCTGAGAAACTTTTGGGGATGAAGGGGGGTACGGGGGGGTTGGGGGCGGGGTATAGGGGGGGGATAGGGGGATATAGGGGTGGTATAGGGGGTATTGGGGGGGTATGAGGGTGTTGGCAGGCGGTTTGGGGGTGTTGGGGGGTGTTGGTGGGGTTTATTACGGGTTCTTGTTTTCTTCTTTTTTTCTTTTTTTTTTTGCGGGGTGCCGACGACCCCCGAGCGGTGGGTGCCGACCAGCCAACCGGTTGGCTGGTCGGCATCCGACCAGTCAAGGGCCGCCGACCATCGGGGTATGCAACCATGTCTGCAAGTGCAATACACCTGCCCTCACAAGCCCTCCACTAAGTGTTGTCTTTCCACCTGTCTCTTATACACATCTAGATGTGTATAAGAGACAGCCGTTGGAGCAGACCACTCTAGAATGACACGAGAGGTCAGTCAGTGTTCGGGTTGCAGGATGATTTTCGTTGAGGAGTACCCGTTGGCTATGGTAGGTGGCCAACCCCTACAGACAGGACAGCACCGATTCGGGTGCGGACTGTGGAAGGATCGCATCCAATTCTCGCAGTCGCAGTTGCTGCACCGAATGGCACGGCGTAGACAGATATCACAGGCAACGTGGCTCCCACACGCAAGGACCACAGAGGCACGCCGACCGCAATTATAAAGGAATTGCCGTTTGAGCCCTTGTCTACAAATTGGAGATGACATGTCAGGGTGACAGACGTGAGTGCAATGTTGGCTGTCATCATACGTATGAAAACAAATGCGTGTGTGTGTGTGTGTGTGTGTGTGATGATGTGTGTGATGATGTGTGTGTGGGTGTGTGTGTGGGTGTGGGTGTGTGGGTGTGGTGTGTGTGTGTGT